TTGACTCTTTGTAGTCTTTGCTTTGTTTCTATTTCATTAATCTCTGTGCTGATTTTTATGATTTCTTGCTGTCCACTGGATTTGGCTTTAGTTTGCTCTTGTGTTTCCAAATTCTTGCCTTGCATCATTAAGTCATTTATTTATACTCTTTCTGATTTTTTAATGTAACTACAAATTTCCCTCTTAAACTGCTTTTAATGTGTCCCAGATGTTTTGTTGTGTTGCGTTTTCACTTTCATTTAGTTCCAGGAATTTTTTTATTTCCTTCTTGATTTCTTCCTTGGACCATTCATCACTGGGTAGTGGGTTGTTTAATTTCCATGAGTTTGAGAATCACACTCTTTTCTCTCACACATTCTCTTAATAAATCACTGCTTTAAAATTGCTGCCTTGGGGATTCTTAGTTTTCCTTCCATTTTTGGAGGGCAGGGAGCAAATATTTTATGACTCAGTCCCTGTTCATGTAGGAAATTTTTTGACAGGTTTTCTTGATTTTTTTTTTCAAGTGACTCCTAACATTTAGTACTGGGTCCCTTTTATTGTGAATGATCTTTCTCAGTAGGCACATGAGAAGAAACACAAGAAAATTCCAGTTTCCTAACTCAAAGTAGGTAAAAATGTTTACTGACCAATCTAATGATGTACTAAGAGTTACAATAAAAACAGGGCAAATCACTGTTTTGTTTTGTTTTTCACTCAGCCAGTTTCTTCTTTTTTTATTTTGCAAGATTAAATTTTGAATAATAACTAAACTTTAAAAGATTTTTTTGCTCTTTTATATCTGAAAGAATGGTAGAAATTATTCAAAAATTTAAATATAAACAAAATTATTAATTTTAAAGTTTAAATTTTAAAATTTAAAGATCATAAATGGTCTTTTCTTTGAAGCTAAATATTTCACTTGAAAGCAGTTGAAAAATATTTAATTAAACTAAATGGACTGCCATACTGTTCGTTGCTATTAATTTTACCACATTTATATTAAGATAAAGCAAATCATGAAAGAGAAGTAAAAACAAAGTAGCCATTTGTTAGCTAATTTCACTTGGTGGTCTACTAATATTATAGATGCATCATTAATTACGGCTGGACATGCACTGACTCCCTGCCTGAAAGCCTCCCTCCTAATAGAGCCCCTTAACTTTGGCAACTATCAAAAGCATGTTTCATCTTTAAAAGTTATCAAAATATTGATCTGAAACTCCCAAGTCTAATTGCCTGTTTCACGATCCCATTGTCTAGGGAACAAAGCATTGGCAACATTTGTCATTTCGGGACAATTATTCTCCTAACACTAAAGAAGATAAAGCTGCAGATCAATGACCTGTTGGGAATACTGAGTACTGAATGATCACCTGTTCTGTCAACATTGTCTTCTCAGAAACGGTGTAAAGTTAATTCATATGCCGTACTCATGTGATTGCAAGTGATAAGGGATTCATGATGTTAATCATAAATCAATTTTTGTACTCACTATTCTAAGACCTTCTGTGAAGGAGAAACATTATTTGTAATCTATCTTCAGTAGCATGGCTATAGATAGATTGCCAGAACTTACTGAATTTACCATGTTAAAATATGATGTGTTAACCACTGTTCTCCTTCTCCTTCTCCATCTGTGGGAATGTATGTATGCATGTATATATGTATATATATACATGTATTATATGTCTGCATGTATTATAATATATACAGCAGACATTTTGTTTTTAAATAAATTTCATAATATCCTGGAAAGTTCAAATTGCATTATACATTATTTGCAGTAGGTATCAATATTTTCCTTCAAAAGCAGTTTTCTCAAGAACTAGAGACGAGAACTGAACAGTCCTACCTGAGATTCAGACAAAAACTCTGAGTGGCAAATTGCCCGGTATATCCCATGTAGGTGGCTGATAAAGGCATGGTTCAGATAAGATACACAAGAGCACACCATTGAATTTCTAGAGTTAGTTGATCAAGCCTTGGTCTTTGTCGTCTCCTCTGGTGACAAGGAGAGAGTGGAGGAGGAGATTTGCTTTGTTGTTGTTGTTTTGTGTGTGCTGCAATCAACTGTCCTAGGTTCACAGCACTTGGGCCTCAGAGGTTTGCCTTACAAGTGTCATCACCACCAAGTAACTTACTGAATACAGTGTGAGTTGAAACCATGCCACTGTCCCTTACCACCTGAGAATTTTCTAACTGGGAGGCTATTTCCTACCCCTGTGTCCCTCGTCCCATAATTCAAACTCTGGCAAATGTTAATCTGGGCATACCTTTTTAAAATGACAGCAATGATAAGATCTCAGCCAAATTTTAGTTGACTTGAGAAGAATCACTAGGCAAATGATTTCTCTGGTTAATTGATTTTTTTTTAAAATTTTGGGTTGAAGGATAATGTGTTAGGGATAGGTTTGGTCTTACTTTATAGATACAGAAACCAAAAACCAACTAGGAATTTATTTCTCTTCCATGTGAAGAATGGCTGATGTTCCTATCACAATTCTGTGAGAGCTCTGCAATGTCATTACATACATAGGTGCTTTCCAGATCACTGCTATGCCACCATAGAGCCTCCCTGCAAAGTGCAAGTTGCCCACTCCAGGTCCAGTTTCTCCATCTGCACTTCAGGTAATAGGGTGGATGCCACTATGAAGTCATATGGTGCTCCATTCTATCAGAAGACATTCCAGTAGCCCTATAGGATAGAATTGTCACTGTCCAGAACTTCAACACTTGTCAGGTCCCCATATAGTTATAGACTGGCTATGAAATGCAGTTTTTACATGTGGCAATATTTACAACTAAACACTGAGGTCCTAGTGGCAGAGGTTGGGTATTGAAAGGTCATGTTCTCTGTGGCACAAAATCTTTTCCTTTAACCAGAGGGGAAAAAAACTTGATAGAATAGTAAATAGGTGAGGACTGTGAAACATGCAATGCTTCTTAGACAATGAAGTAAAACTTGACGTTTGTTATTAAGCTGGCATGTGATGATGACACAACTCCAAATCAGTCTGTTTCTTCTCCTAGTCACTGCTTGCTGCAAATCAAGAACTGAGATTGACAGCTACTTATGAACAGAGACTCGACCTTGTTGACTCGACATCTCAGGGCTTCTCCATTATAAATGCAAAGAACATGCACTGCTTAAAAGAAGAAAGGAGCCGGGCAGTGGTGGCACACGCCTTTAATCCCAGCACTCCAGAGGCAGAGGCAGGCAATTCTTTGTGAGTTTGAGGCCGGCCTGGGCCACAGAGTGAGTTCCAGGAAAGGTGCAACGCTACCCAGAGAAACTCTGTCTTGAAAAAAAACAAAAAGAAGAAGAAGGAGGAGGAGGAGGAGGAGGAGGAGGAGGAGGAGGAGGAGGAGGAGGAGGAGGAGGAAGAAGAAGAAGAAGAAGAAGAAGAAGAAGAAGAAGAAGAAGAAGAAGAAGAAGAAGAAGAAAGGGAATGTTACAGTGACTTAAGAGCCAAATAAAGGCAAGTAAAGATGTGCAAAAAACATGTGGGTATCGGTTACCTAAGGATACCAGTTAGTACCAAGGGATGCCATCCATCTAAACTCTCCAGGTCTCCTTCTGTCTTCAGTGCACACAACAAACCCACCTGTGATTTAACAAATCATGAAATGGTTACACTGGGTCTAAACTTAGTGCACTGTGCCATCATTCTCCTACCCACCTTCTTCAGGACACGGTGCTTAACTGATGGACCTCCTCCTCTTTTCAGCTCTCTCACATAGGATAATTTAATATTTCTCCAGAGTATCCCCTTCTGGTTCCCTCATCTGTCCACATTGTTCTACCATGTTTTATGGTGGTATTGTGTTCCCCAAAATATTGTGCACCCTCATAAACTTATCTGGGATCAGAGACAGAACAGCCATAATATTAAACATAGAGGATAGGCAGTGGTAGCACACGCCTTTAATCCTAGCATTCTAGAGGCAGAAATCCATGTGTTCAAGGATACAGCCAAGCATGGTGACACACACCTTTAATCCCAAGAAGCGAGCCTTTAATCCCAGGGAGTGATGGCAGAAAGCAGAAAGGTATATAAGGCATGAGGACCAGGAACTAGAAGCATTTGGCTGGTTAAGCTTTTAGGCTTTTGAGCAGCACAGTTCAGCTGAGATTCATTCTGGATGAGGACTCAGAAGCTTCCAGTCTGAGGAAACAGGATCAGCTGAGGAATTGGCGAGGTGAAGTAGCTGTGGCTTGTTCTGTTTCTCTGATCTTCCAGCATTCACCCCAATAATTGGCCTCAGGTTTGTTTTTATTAATAAGAACTTTTAAGATTCCTGCTACAATGCTGCTACCCTCCCTGCTTGAGCAACCATCACATCTCACTTGGTTATCACCTCTAGTGTGGAGTTTTAGAAGCCTGGCATCGGGCACTCATTTTCTGCTGCCTTATTTCTCCCAACACATTTTTCATGTAGCAGTCATAATAATCTTTCTGAAATGCCTGCCCTGTAATGACAGTCCCCTAATTAAAATCATCCAGTGAGTTCATTTCCCTTACAGGCAAGGTTGAGTACTTTAGGACGCGCATGAAGCCCTGTATTACGGGGCCTTCGGCAGCTTCAGCTTTCTCTCTGCTCCTTCCTGTCCCCTCCCTTTCATCCACTCATAGCTGACTGCTTCATGTCTTTTGAATGCATAATTTTCTCTCTGTAAAGTGGCCATTTTCCTCATTTGAAATGATCTTTCTCTCTGTACCTCTCCCAATCTGTTGCTGTATCTGGAAGCACTTACCCACTTGTATCCATTAGTCATGTCCTCTGAGAAACCCTCTTTTGAGTCTCATTCAACCCAAAGATGCAGTGAGGTAGTCCAGATCTCTACTCCCACAGTGTCCTATGCTGTGGATAATGTGGACACGGTGAGTCGAGTTCTAATTTTATTGCTCTCCACTTCGGTCACAGTCGACTGCTACTTCTATAAATACAGTAATGTCTGTTCTCTGCCTTGCTTGTTGTACTTACCCTACTTACAGTATGAAATGATATGAACAGTATAAATTTCAACTAATCTCTTTTAATAGATTACAGTGGAGACACTAAAACACCAGAAACAAACAAACAAACAAACAAACAAAAAAACCCGAAATGATTTATGCAATTATAGCGGCAGGTCTTATATTGCTCTTAGTTTTCTCATAAATGTTTTGCTGAGAACTGAGGGCCTCAGATCTCTCCCCATAAGTCTCAGTGTTCAGATGCAGGCCTTGGATCATCTCCTCTGGTCTGAACCCACAGATGTGTACTATATTCAGGCTTTCAGCGCCAAAGGCCTCCCTCTCCGCCTTGTGTTTGTGTAGGAAAGGCTGATCCCTGGAGAGCACTGTCAATGCAACAGGAAGTCCTTGCTGAACCCTCCAACCACCTTCTCAGTCTGTGGATTTCCGTGAGGTGTGCGTCTTACTTCAGAAAGGCCCTGCTAGTTTTTCCTCATTTGTTCTGTCTTTCCTGGGAAATAAAAGGAGAAACTGCGCCAGAGGGTGATCAATGCAGTTCATCAGGATACATGATACTATCTAACCAATAAAAACGACTCTCGTGGTAGCTATACTTAATATCCTCCTGCTCTATTGTGCATTTCCCCCCTCAATCACTCTCTTATTCAGATATGATAAGCCCACTCACATGACCCTCTAGCAGCTTTTGTGAGTGTGTGCCTTGGCTATCTGTAAAAGCTGTCTTTCAAAACATGAATCTCTTTTCTCCTTCCACAAAGATCCTTTCAATAGCCAAAGTATTAGTTCTTGAGTTAAACTTTTATGTTATTTATCATGTAAGCACTAACTATTCTTACTCATCCTTTCATGGAAAGAGCTCCAGAAAACTGAAGATGAAAATGAATCTGGGGAAATAAGCACAGGTATTTTAAATGTGCAACCCAAACTAAGAGCAATAGATAGATGATTTTTTGCCATGAAGATAAATGCCAAACACTATACAATATATACATCAATCAAAGTATCAGATCACCCCATGAAGATACATAATTTTTATGTATACACTGAAATAAGTTGTATTTCAAAAAATCTCATTAAATGACAAAAAGTAGTCACAAAATACCATACATTTAATGATCTCATTTACATGATGTATGAAAAATGAGTCATATCCATAGGTAAAAAAACTAGATTACTGGCTGTGTAGGGCTGGGCAAGGACAAATATGTACATAGGAAGTGACTTCTAATAGGTACAATTTTTGATTAAGGTATTCTAAAATTATATTTAGGTGATTGTTACATAATTCTGAAAATATACTAAAGTGATTGAACTGTTCACTGAAAAAAGTAAGCCTTAAACGTATAAATTATATCTCAATAAAAACCATTAGAAATTAGAATATTCAAATTAGAAGAACCAACTGATACTGAACTGTATTAATAAAAAATTTTAAAAGTAGATAAAATAAGCAAAACCAGAATGTACTAAAAATGTCAAAGCTCTCTGTTGTGAGAAAACTAGACTTTTCCTTCATTAAAAGTTTCCTTCATTAAATTAAAATGAGAATCAGTCTAGTTCTTATCAGAAGATTCCAAAATAAAATTGGGCGATGGAGTCTAAGTGCAAGAGCAGGTATTATTTAGAATCCAGCAATAAAATAAATTTTATCATAGATATAATTACAGACTTAAACTGATGGAATACTCATTTTGGAGAAAGAACTGGATTATTTTCTGCATGAACATCAATGGGACTCAACCCCATTCCAGTTGTCACTCAGGAAAAACTGAGTTCAGGAGAAATGAAAACATTCAGAAATCTGTAGGCATATGAGAACATCCGTAGGCATATGAGAACATCCAGAAATCTGCAGGCATATGAAGGCTTGAACTGTTTGACATTAATTCACTCTCCAGGACAATGAAGTCTTCAGAGGAAGGCATGGAAGATTCCAGATATATTTTGCCTCATTCATGGCCATAAATACTTGATTTTCTGTTTTCTTTTGCAACTAGGACCTGGGACACAATTTTGGCCACTGGGCATCATGAAGAGGTGTGTTCTTTCTTACTTTTTTTTTGTAACAGACACAGTGTCCCCTGACCAAAAGATAAAAGCTATATAATAGGGGAAAGAGAACAGATCAACAATGGGAACTTCCATTCTCAGTGTTGGCTAGGCATTCTGGGTCTAAATGTTTAATGCAAGAGATAATACTTATAACCAGTGTTTCTCTTTCTTATTTATAGGGAAGTAAATTCTGCATGAGATATTCCTGTCAATAAATGACAAGAAATCCATGTAAAAAGAGACAATAACAATAAACATTATGATAGTAATTGAAAGTTCAGGCAACACAAGGGAAGTTAGAATTAACTTCAGAAGCGTCTGTTGGACCCGATGGCATGGACAGACATACTTGGTAAATTTAAATAACCAGAATTATGATTCTTATCGAATGGTCTAGACACAATGAAAAGATGCATGCTATTTTTATTTTAAATGTGAAATATTAGTTTTCAACATTTTTTAAATCATTGAAATGTCTCTAATTTTTGAAAGTTTCATATTATTTACAAGCTGAACTTAATGTTAAGAGACTGAAGTTTGTCGGTTTTTCTTCAAAGGACAATAAAGTTGAATATTCAAGAGCAGGTACACTTAATTCTCTCTTTTTTTTTTTTCACTGCAAGAAAGCTTAGAGATACCATCAACAAATCAACATTACCATATAACTTGATAGAAAGCAAAGCATGCAGGGAAAAATACCTAAGTAAAAAGTTGTACAATGAGAAGAAATTGAAATTTCTTTTCTACAAGTAAGGAAATTCACATTTTCTAAGACAGGCAAATGAAGAAAATAAATAACAATCATGAATAAGGCAAAATCATATGCAGCAACCAACAGTAATGACTAAGAGCAAAGGGGAGCGCTGTGGTCTTCAGTTCATCTCAAATGGATATTTGAGTGGGGTCATTAGCATTTTCACTTTCTTCATTTTCTTGGGGAAAAAATACATTCTATCATAGACATCGTTACAGACTTAAGCCAATGAATACTCACTTTGGAGGAAAAAAACCAGCTTCTTTTCTGGATGAACGGTGAGACCGAACACCACACCACTCCACCCCACTTCCATCTAGTGTGCCAGATTCAGGCAGCAAGGGAAAGAGGACACATGTATGGCACAAATCTTAAAAGGTCTTATTAAGAAGAAGAAGAAGAAGAAGAAGAAGAAGAAGAAGAAGAAGAAGAAGAAGAAGAAGAAGAAGAAGAAACCCGGTGCCAGCTATTGGGGTAAATTCTGAAAGATCAGAGAGACAGAACAAGCCACAGCCAACCTCACTTCCCCAACTCCTCAGCTGTTCCTGTTTCTTCAGACTGAATGCCTCTGAGTCCTCACCTGAATGGATCTCGGCTGAACTGCTGCTAAAAAGCCTAAAAGCTTAAAAGCCTCTAGTTCCTGGTCCTCTCGCCTTATATACCTTTCTGCTTCCTGCCATCACTTCCTGGGATTAAAGGCGTGTGTCTTTTCCAAGCAAGGACATGAGATCACAAGTGCTGGGATTAAATGTATGTGCCACCATGCCTGGCTCTGTTTCCAGTGAGGCCTTGAACTCCCAGAAATTCGAATGGATCTCTGCCTTTGGAATGCTAGGATTAAAGGCATGTGCTACCACTGCCTAACCTCTATGTTTAATATGGTGGCTGTTCTGTTCTCTGACCCCCAGATAAGTTTATTGGGGTGTGCAATAAATGAACCACACACATGGAGAATCTGACTATCTAGCTATTGTTAATCATTGCCCAAATGACTCCTAAAATATTCTCACTGAATTCTGAAGCTCATGAATATCATGGAATAGGCTTTACTTTAGCTGTTTTTTCCTGTTTTCATAATATTTCCATATTTTGAAAATGCACACAGTAATTCAAAGAGACATCTTCGAACATGTTTTATGCTAAGTGTTCTTGAATTAATCATTTCACATTGTAGTCTTTGTTTGAAAAGGGCTTTTACATCCCTTAAGTCTTTCTTTTCTGCATACGTCTGTAGTACATTCCTGATTTTTAATGCATTTTTGTATAAGAAAACTGAAAGAGCAAAACCGAAATGTGAAGGCTTCTAAATGCATCGCAGGTCTGATATAGAAATATAAAACACAGAAATTAAAAACAACTATGAAAAGGAAAAGCATCTAGACCTTTAGAGAAATAAACATATACGTATATATCCTTCCACCAGATCAGTCAATGAAAAGAAAAGGAGCCTGGTGGAGTGATTCCTTTTTTCGTCTTAGAATTCTAAAGTGAAGACAAATTAAGGAAAGTACTGATAAAAGAAGGTGATTCAACAGTGTGCTAGAGATAAACATAATTTATAAAGTCAATCCAGTGAGCCAGAAAACAAAACATCAGTCGAAGTACTAAAACTTATATTAAGGCTAAAATTAAAAAATGGAAGTGGATACTGTTTTGAAGGGGAGGAAAAGACTGGGTCTGGAGATGAGGAGCCAAAAGCTATAGAATGATTTTTATACTTGTGTGCAGGACAGGTTTGGGTAAATTTCAAGTAAAAGACACTAATCCAAGTTAAGGAATTACTGACCACGTAAAACACAATTCCATATAGTTTCTCCAGTCTGGATCTTACACCCATTAATAGCTTTCATTGCACAAGCACAATACTTTTTTAAAAATAATTTATTCATTTTGATTTTATGTGAATTGGTGTTTTGCCTGCATGTATGTCTGTGTGAGGGTGTCAGATCTTGGAGTTACATACAATTGTGAGCTGCCACATGGGTGCTGGGAATTGAACCCAGGTCCTCTGGAAAAGCAGTCAGTGCTCTTAACCCCTGAGCCATCTCTCAAGCCCCCATAAACATAATTTTATTCTTAACTGTGAAAAAGATAAACTTTCTTCCTTGTATTATTCCATAAACTTATATTTAGAGAGTGTTCGTTGTTTTCCTTAATATATAGAACTGCAAAACACTAAAGAACTTGGACCAGGTTTGGAACATCTTAGCATTCATATGAGACAAGACAATATCCTGTTCTTAAATATTCCTGTCACTGCTGTTGCCACAATCAGTTTCTTGATTTTGTGGTCCAAGAGTAAAACTGAGCTCTCTGATAATTAATTCTCTTGACAGTTTTATGCTGGGAAAGAAAGATCGTAACGATGAAGACTAATATAAATGTTGACATTTAACAAAATGCTGTAAAAGAAAATTTTAGTAGACTACAGTGGCTACTTACCAATTGATTTCTTAATAACCCAAAAGAATAAATGGACCTAGCAAAAGTCTCTAAATTATTCTTAGAGAATAGCTTCTGTGGATGGATTTTTGCTTTCAGAGATGATAAAATTGCCCAGGCACTACTCTTGGCTCCCATGGATCATGAAAAACCATGAATTCAAGTTTCTCAAGCCCTTTATCCTCAGGTCAGAGGAGACTAGATGCTCTCATGAGTCAGTCGCTGTTCATCACCGAGTTTAAAATCCATTCAGCATACCAAGAGTGGTTAGCTCAAATCAGGGACACAAATGTATCCACAGAGCTTGCAATTTAAAAACTGCTCTAAAATCACTCAAAGATGCAACATCCAATTAAATGTCCTCTTTTCACACTTTAGGATGTAAGTTTAATTGTCCACAACTACAATTTACTTTTGTGTTTATAATAACAGTTTCAGAAAGATTCCTCGGATGTGTTGATCTACACAATTCTCTTAACATTTGTTGCTCGCTATTCATTAGCTGCAATCATTAATGCTCCAGTAAATAGTCTGTTTCTGGAGTTCTTCTAAACAGACATGCTAATAAAGTCAAAGCCCGCCTACCTTGACCTGGAACAGAATATGGAATTAAAATGACTCCTCAGCTGCTATAACATTTTATGGCGATGGCGTGATAAGAAATTCAAGGCAGATGCTGGCTTCGAAGCAGATTCCATTTGCTTAGGCCAGCCCCATTTGAAGGCACCCCTCGATCCAGAGAGACAGTAGATGATAGTGAGGAACAAAGAGACTTTGCAAATATTGGCTGACCCAGAGCACTGTGTAACTCCCTCGTTCGGCACTGAGCCGGTTATGGCCCTGTCAGATTGTCAAATCCAAGGCTCCTCCTGCCCTTGCTCTCAATTTCAGGCTTTACGCCCTTTCCACATACTGAACAGAGTGCTATTGTTTCTCTGCAGAGTGTCCATTTTCACTTTGCCATTTCCCATATTTATTTAAGGTACTATGACATGGGTGTACGGGGTGGGGGGGAATGCCTGTGGGATAGAGTTTTCATGCCTTCTGAAATACTTTTTAAATTTTATGTTCATATTTTTTAGGCGGTACTTGGATTAAACTGGGATTTCTGCATGCTGAGCATGCATGCACTCTACAGAAGCTGTTTTTCTAGTCTATCTTCGGAACCATTAAGACTGGCATTTTCTTATTAGCCCTGCATTTCCTTAGTATATCATATGGAAGGCAGACTTGACATTTTAACGGACTCCTTTTATTTGTTTGGGTTTTGTTTTGTTTCCTTCTGTTGGTAAAACAGGAGCTCATCCTGTCACTCGGGCTGGCCTGGAACTTAAAATGTAGTCCAGGCTGGCCTGGAACTTTAAATAGCCACCTGCCTCAATTTCCCAAGAACTGAGACAACAGACATGGGCCATCATGCTCAGTTTTAAGACTTCTCTTTAAGGAGGCCAATATAGTTACTATAGAGTAATCTTTTGGGAAGTCAAATGTTATGACATTATCCTAAATCTTTCTAATAATACATATCATTTTCACATAATTTTGTTTCTGCAGGATGACCTAAGGTTTGAAAGAGCCTATTCCTTCCATCTTGTGCTTGGCATTAGCTTTGGGTTTCTGGTGGGTCAGAATCTGTGCTGAGGATGACTGAGTTATTCACGGCACAACTTCTAACGGAGTGTGAACGTGACTTGAATAATAAATACCACAGTCCTTTAATAAGGCTCATCTCCTGCTCACATTAAAGCCCTGCACTGTTTCTGTAATCCAGTGGAATTTTACCAAAGTCAAATTAAGACACATAAGAGCACACTCTCCAAGTGCATCTCCTAATCCTTAGGAAGTGACTGTAATTGATTTACAGCCAAGCAGCTGCTCTGGGAACACAGCAGCCCCGGGTGGCTCTGCTGGCTGGGCTTGGGCGAGCCGGCGTGCACAACCTGCTAGTCTGCAGTTTTTTACTCACCACGTTGTAAAATACAAAGATAAAATGTGCGGTTGATGGAGAACTTGTAGCAGAAAAACTACTGGGGAGCCATATTGCTTAGGTAAACATTTACTTAAACACATTAATAAAAATGTCAGGAACATTGTAAAAGCACATAATCTACCAAAATTGCTAGGTGTTTCTAAATGTTTTTTGCCCCCCCCCTTTCTAGGTTCTACCTGAGGTGAACTTTCCCTTTTCTGTGACACTCCAGCAGAAGTGATGTGCTGTGTCTGAAAATGGCAGCATCTGCCTCCCTGGCTCAGCCTCTTCATTTACATTCGCTTTGTTTCGTTAGCCATGGCCAATTATTAGCCTAATTATTAGGCTATGACTTTAAATTGAGCAAGAGAAGTGGTCATTTGTAATGATTTCTCTCTAGTTATTTAAAATTTCATCGAATTATTTTTAATCACATGTGAAAATGCTGAAAGTCTAATAATTGGAATCTTTCACCACTTACTAGGTAACTGAATAAGTGTGGCTATTAGAGGTGACAGAGATAGATGGCAATGACCACCTTTTCTTTTTCCCTTGACAGCTTCTGCCCACAACATATGTTCAGTACTATCAGGGCTATTGCAGAGAACACAGAATAATCAGGTAGACAGGTTCACAAACAGTGCCTAGGACACACGCTGGCCTCCCGGTGTTAACAAGGAGCGTCATGCTCACTTGTAAACATGGTCAGATAATGTGAGGATTGGTCACTTTAATTGTTGGTTCTTAAGATCATGGTTAAAACACTCATGTTGTCTACAGACCTGCTAGATTTGAAGGTGGGATGCCCTCGCCTGACGTTACTTGCTCTTGTGTCGTGGAAAGGAAGAAAAATTACAAGCTCTGTAATGGTTCTGATGATGACTCAACCATCTCTGTTTTACCTTTAAAAAATAATTTGGGGGTTAAGGTTTGTTCTTGACTCTAAATTTTTTATGGATAATTAATAGGGAAATATTATTCGTTCAAAAGGTTACTAACAGCCACCTGCTTATTGATTTCTTCCTCTTCTGGGAGAAAACTGATGCTTGAATCTGATTCCAAAAAGCATCTCAGAAGCTAGCGAGATGTTCCAGTGGTTCAGAGTACTTTCTGCACAACCAGAGGGTTCGAGTTCAGAGCTCAGCACCTGAGCAACAAGCCCCGCGTGGTTTTATGTGTACTCGTTAGTGCCAGTGCTGAGGAGGCAGAGACAGGAGGATTGCTGGGGCTTGCTGGCTACCAGCCTAGACAAGAATATAACATGAGTTTCTGGTTTAGGAAGAGACTCTGCCTCAAGAGAACAAAGCAATGGGTGACCAAAGGGAACAAATGCTACCTTCCTCCGGCCTTTCCGAGTGTGGATGCATGTGTGTACACATGTCACACATACCTACCACCTCTATCCCTGTCATGCATACACACACACACACACACACACACACACACACACACACACACGGGCAAGGTGGGGGTGAGAGGAGAGAGAGAGAGAGAACAGTTCAGGAACCTAATTTTAAGGAAATTTACATAATTCACAAGCCTAATTTCACAAGCCTTAAACTGTCACTAATCATTCATAAAATAACACATCTATGCCCATGTGGTTGATATCTGCATTCTTTTATTTTTATTGTTAACGTATCATATATTTTATGTACACATATCATTAGAGTAGGCCTTAAGCAGGTAATTGGAGAATATCACTGTTTACTTGCAAAGAATATCAAGAAAAGTAAACTGAAAAGATGCATACCCATATAATTCAGTCTCCATTTTTCACCCCATGAGCTTATTCAACACACTCACTGGTTATAACAACCAGTGTGTAGCAAACACTATAGAACAACATTTCAAAGAACAGTTGGTCAAAACAACAGATAATCACATATAACTCAGGGATCATAATTTTCTACTATAACAGTTATCTTACCTATTATACAGGCCACCATATTGCAGCAGTCCACAACCTGTGGGTTGTGACCCCTTTAGGGGCTGCATATCAGATATCCTGCGGATCAGATATTTACATTATGATCATAAGAGTAGCAAATTACAGTTAGAAAGTAATAAAATAATTTTATGGTTGGAGGCCAGCACAACATGAGGAACTGTATTAAAGGGTCACATCATTAGGAAGGTTGAAAATCACTGCAGTATTGGTTAGGTTTTTGCCAAATAGGCATAAGTTACAGCCTTTTGGGAGAAGCAATCTCAGTTGAGAAAATGCCTCCATTGGACTGACCTGCAAGCAAGTCTGTGGAGGCATTTTCTTAATTAATATTGACATAGGAAAGCCCAGCACAATGAAGATGGTACCATCCCTGCACAGGCTGAAAGAGCAGGCTGAGAAAACCATGGGGTAAAGCCATATTCCTTTACCCCATAAAATAAGCAATATTCCTCCATGGCCTCTGGTTCAATTCCTGCCTCCAAGTTTCTGCTTTGAGTTCCTGCTTTGGCTGCCCTCAGTGCACTGTGACCTGGATAAGTAAGTTAAATAAATTTTTTTCTCTCTAAGTTGCTTTTTCAGTGTTTTATCATAGCAAAGGAGAGCAATTATCCCCCAAGACTAAGCAGGGTTGTGTGTTAGGGGTGGAAATAGTTTGCTCAGCTAGGGTCTCCTCCCAGAGCCAGATGGAGCAGCAAAAGCTGCAGAGATAGTAGCCAGAGCCTCTGTGACCCAGAGAAACAACCTGGGCAGCATATGCAGCAAAGGAGAGCAGGATCCTGTTCACTTTTATCCCTGAGCCTGTCTCAGCAGTCCCAACAAGTTTACTGGGGATGGGAAAATGCGGGAAGGCACCATGGAAGGGTGTAGCTAGAGTTTTCCTGCCTTGCCCACAGTCAGGGCAAATCTCTCTCACCTGCCAGTCCCACAGCCCCTCAAACCCGACCAAGTAAACACAGAGACTTATATTGGTTACAAACTGTATGGCCGTGGCAGGCTTCTTGCTAACTGTTCTTACAGCTTAAATTAATCAATTTCCATTAATCTATACCTTGCCACGTGGCTTGTGGCTTACCGGCATCTTCACATGCTGTTTCTCATCGTGGCGGCTGGCAGTGTCTCTCTGACTCAGCCTTCCACTTCCCAGCTTTATTCTCTTCCTTGTCCTGCCTACACTTCCTGCCTAGCCAATGGCCAATCAGTGTTTTATTTATTGACTAATCAGCAACACATTTGCCATACAGAACATCCCACAGCACTTCCCCCCCCCCTTTTTTTTTTCAAAAAGGAAGGTTTTAACCTTAACAAAGTAAAATTACATATAATTTGGGAATTTGGGCATAGCTTCTCTTACTACTTCCTGCTGGAGGGGGGCGCTGTATCTTATGGGGACACAAAGAAAATTTTAGGATCATGGAGTAGTCCGTGAGGCTGTATCGTCTGAGCCAGTTGCCTTGAAACCATTCTGGATGTTGGATCATCTGGGCCTTGGTGTCATCCGAGACCTTTCAGGGGGTCTTGGCTGGTAAACCTGATGTATCTTAATCTGCAACAAATCCATAGCCTTTGGCTTTCTGTGGGAACAAAAGCAGAGATTCCTTTCCAAGGCAACACATCCTTAGATCCAAATTTTGAAGTCAAGGTACCTTTAAAATATACATTTTGGCATAACTCAACAGCTTTTACAATCAAATGTTTTTCTGCAGTTAAAAATCCCAAAGACAACACAATCCAGATTCTCTGTGTAATATTCATCTTTACGTGGCTTATTTTTTATATTAATTTTACTGTCTCTTTAAAGACTTTATTTTTTAAAACTATGTATTTGTTTCTATAACTGTATATATCACCTTTTTGTCTCTTTCAAGCCTACGTATATTTTACACATTTAAACTATTA